GAAACAATAAGACTAAGCTCAGATTATTCGGCAGAAACCATGCAGGCAAGAAGGCAGTGGGATGACATATATAAAATCTTGAAAGAAAAAAATTACCAGCCAAGAATGATAGATATATTCTGCAAAACTCTTGTTCAAATATGATGGTCAAATTATATCATTTCCAGATAAACAGAAATTAAGGGAATATGTAAACACCAAACCTAACTTACAAGAATTATTAAAGGGAGTTCTTCGACCTGAGAACAAACAACAAAGTGAATAGCTAAACCTTTTAAAAGTACATACAAATTTTGAAGACTGAAAGCACCATTTACAGCATCAGTAGTATGATTTTCAATATACAAGACCTACTTTCCCAACACTGAGTAAAACCTGATATAAGAATAGTGTGGCTCCGTCAATATCGATTTAAGTGGATTTTAGTGTCAACCAGCACTATTACAAAGGACTGAATGAATCTCATCCAAATGTTATGTTAACATGAGTAACCAAACTTTATTGGATGAAGTCTTCTCATCTCATGTAGAATGTTTTATCTTCTAGTGGTTATGGGAGGCATCCACACATAAAGCATGAAAGAGTGATAAATTTTTATATGCAGACTAATTCTGGTATCATGTAGGCAATAGGAAAGTCAGCAACCTGTGGCAAAGACATTTTGTAATTATAGCTTACATTTATTACTGAATACCAACATATGCATGCCATAGTTTATTATATTGTTTGAATGCTTAGATTTAAACAGTAGATTTCAGAATGACTCATTTATTTTAGTATGAAATATATATATTTTTTAATTCAGTGGTAAGAGTAACAGATTTTTCATAGAATGAAGATATAAACTACCGATAAGAAAGTTATTTTTTTACAAGTAGTTTTTAGTGTGAATATATTTGGATTAATTCGAATCAAGTTTCTTGAAAAGATATTGAGCTGCATAATGGTCAAATTTAAATCGGCACAGATAAAATAATATTATTTTGACCCAAACTCTAAATCTATGATTTTCTGTAACAATCACAAAATAATAAGAGTTAAATGATCATGTGAAGTTTTTATTTTCAGAAAATTAACTTCATGATGGAAATAATGGTATACTTTGTAAATCTACTCCTTCACATTGAGAACTTATTTTATTAGTGTGGGGATTATTGTTTATTTACAAGTAGTGATTGATCCATCCTTGCTGGATTTATATTCGAGATGCAATTACTTTTCAACCTAGAACCTCTTAGTAAAGCTCATGAAATGCATGATATTTTCCCACTTGACCAAAAGTTTGCAAAGTATCCTTCAATTACTTTATTTTTCTTCCCATTGTTACCTGAAAATTAGGTACATCGTTTAATTCTTGTGTTTTATTTTGACACCTCTACTTTTCGTAATCTGAAATAATAGAATATAGGTCAAATCAATTAGACTGTGTTTAAGAAAGCAAATGATAATATATTGAGAGGGAAAAGAAGAGTAAATCCCCAAGTCATTTATTTTCAACTCATGTGTCCAAAAGGGGATTCGATTTGTAGAATCCAATTTTCAAAGTTGATGAATTGAAGTGCTTTCAAGAAATAAGAATTTTATTTTTCCCAGAAATCTCTGCTACATGTGGATGTCTATTACAATTTATGAAATAAAATCTAAAATTATCTAAATATGTATGTTTTACATTAAATTGAATTTAATCTCTTTTTTTATAATGACCCTACATCATGACATAATTTTGCTATATTGATGATGTTTTTATTGTTGTTAGTTTCCATCAAGTCTATTCTGACTCATGGCGACCCCAAGTGAGCAGAGTACAACTGTTCCATAGGATTTTCAAGGCTGTAACCTTTCAGAAGCAGATTGCCAGGACTGTCTTCAGAGGTGTCTCTGGGTGAGTTTGAAGTGCCAACCTTTCAGCTGATAGTTGAGCACTTAGCTGTGCCACCCAGGGACTCCTATATTGATGATAGATATTATTAATGTGAATTTCTATATACTTTTCTAAAAACAATAAACCATGAGGTTTAAAATAGATCTTTACTAATTACGAGTTCATAGTAACCCACTTCATCTGCATTTCAACTCTGACATCGCTGTAATAGGAATGCTTATCTAGTAAGGTGTGCAAGGCGTCTTGCTCAAGATTATTGTCCGACACTTAGAATCATCCTGATTTTCATACTAAATAAAACATTCACCACCAGTATAAAGTAAGTTGGACACTTGATGTAGCCAACAAGTCAATTTCAACCCATAGTGACACTATAGGATAGAGTAGAAATGCCCCATAGTTTTCCAAGGTTGGAAATCTTAATGGAAGTAGACTTCCACATTGTTCTCCCATAGTGGCTGGTGGGTTCAAAACACCAGCCTTTCAGTTAGCAGCCAAGCACTTTCACCACTGCACCACCAAGTCTTCTCCTGGCCTAATAGAGCGTGTATTTTTGCATGAAAGAAAGATAATAACTTTGCAAATCGAGAGCAACAGGTGCAAAACCATAATGTTTTATCTCGATTTGACTTGAAAGTTTTCATTTGAAAGCAATCCTCTCCCAGTTGTTAAGTGCAATCAGTGAAAGCCCATCACTATTTGGAAATACGTGTGTGTTGAATAAGCAACAAGCAGTTCGTGGATTTTTTTTTTTTCTGACTGACATCCTCAAATATATTTCTTTGCAGTAATCCAAACCAGATATAAGCTCAAAGTGCAGACTCAAATATAATAATTGTTATGTGGCTCTAATACAACAAAAGTATACTTCAGAAAAACAACAGACAATAAAATGTTAACACTGGTCTCCTTATAAACGATAAAATAGGTGCACAGAGGAATTCAAAGCCAGGTCAACACTCCAGTAGTGAGAGGACACATTTAGTATGTCATAGTGTCCCCCTTTTTCATTTCAAAGGCAGCCCATTCTTATATATTATAAAAAACACTCTGATCTACAGGTTTTATATTTAAAGCATTAATAAAACACCATTGGATTTTGAAAAGGAGCTCGAACATGAATACTAACATGCAAAGATGTCCAACCACTTTGTTTTGTTTGAGGTCTTCCTGTCACATGTTTTTTGGTGCATGTGGTAGTGTTTATCTTATAAATTGGCTTTTCCTATTTTTATGTGCATATCTTGTATCATTATCGTATTTATCCTTATGAGATACAAAGTTTTTTTTTTGTTTTGGAATGTAAAGTCTTAAATTTAAGATATTAGTAAATCAACAAGCTAAAGAACTTCACAAAGCACTCAAATAAACATGTTTAACCTGTTTTTTCCCCCCTTTGCTTTAAAGACTAGGTACATTTTAATAGCAAAAATAATTGGCAGTACCATTTTCACACAATGTTTAACAAATAATATAGATTTTCAAATACTTTTCTCAAACATGCTTGTAGAAGGAAGAATTAGTGTAGAACTTTAAATAATTTGCATCTAAAATAATATTCTGGAAGTTTTAAAGTTTTAAATCTGTTTTCATTGTTATTATAGGTTTGATGTAAATTAATATGCAATACCTTCTGGAGACATCTCTGGTACAATGGCCTCATAAGGTTCATCTAGGAATTTTGGTTCATTGTCATTGATATCCGAAACTCTGATGACAAATTCAGACTCAGGTTCCACAGCCATTCCAGTAGTGGTGTCTATTACCTGCGCTCTCAGAGTGTAGAGGGACTGTTCTTCTCTATCGAGCTTCTGTTCAGCATATATGTCACCTGTCCTTTCGTCAATGACAAAAATACTCCCAGCTCCATCTCCCAAAAGCTTGTACTGGAAGGAGTTATTTCCATTGTCTAAATCAGATCTTAGCTGCAAGTACAAAGACGATCAATTTAGTTTCCAGAAATGTTGAAATGGACAAATCGACTCAAATGATTTTATTTTAGTGCTACTAATTATTCCTCAAGTTAACAATTCTATGTAATTTTCATATTGTTTTAAATAAGGTGAAATACTATTTCGAAATAAAATATAGCTCCAGGTAGAGGAAGGAGTCATTGAATTCTCAACCTAAAGAACTATACAAATTTTATGACTCTAACCAGATAATTTCGAGAAACTGTAATAACTGAAAAATTCTTTTTTATAAATTATGTACAAGGAAATTGGTTCAAGTTTGCACTATGATTACATTCTCACTCACTGAAAGCATATTCTCAAATATTTATATAGGCTAGGACTGAGAGACCGATAGGGAGACAATCGTCTAAGTAAACTTAAATAATGATGTTCTGTCTCAAGGCTGAAAATACGTAGAAAATATGGAAATATTAGCAAGAAAATTAGGGAGCATGATGAGAAGATAATAGCCTTAGCCATCCACTGGATACTTACTACATACCATAAAATCTACTAATTGCTCTATATTAATTGTCTCAATTAACCCTCATAACATTATGAGATGCATATTGTTGACACAATCAAACTTTTCTACAGATAAGAAACTTCAGTCTCTGAAAACTTTTAAAAACTTGACAAAGACACACGGTTTCAATATAAATTCACAATGTAGACCACAGACTGTCTGATCCCAGATCCTCCCACCTAACCACTATGTAACGTGGTCTTTTGGCCCTTAACTTTTAGCCAGACCAGACCTAAACTCTTACTTCGCTGCATATTCTACTCAATTACTGGATATGCCTTTTGTTCTTCTGCCCTCATTCTATTATTTTTTAAGAGCAAATTTTTTCATTGTTCATAATATCATAAAGGACATTATTTAAAATTTTGAACTTTATGTGAAAAATTACAGTCTCATTTTGATATACTTAATATCATTAACATTAACTATTTTACATAAAGGTGGCAGGTCATGTTCTCCTCATTATTGTGAAAGTATGGTTTTCTCGATTCTCCCTTTATGAATATGCTCCTCCTCAAAGTAAAGAGCTTCTCTAAAAACTCACAAAGTTAACCAAATAAATAAGTAAACTTCTAAACAAAAGGTTACTTCTCTGATGGCTTTATTTAAAATTAATTATTCTAATTAATTAAAGTTTTAATGTGATTGGGGATAAAATCTGATGACACCTAAAACAACTGATTTAGCGCTTTAATAATGCATTGAGTATCAGTGGTATGCAGTGAAAGAAACACATTGGGGAAAATAAAACATTCATATCAACTTTCTGATTAGAGTTCTTTTAATTAGGTAGTCTTTCACTACTCAAAATGAAAATCAAGTCCTTATGCCATAATATTAAGAAAATATGAAAAAAATGTACATGCCAATTAATACATCAAATAAAAGCAATGCATCTCCCTTATTTTGTATTTGTAGTTCCTATATACAGTTTGCAATTTTTATTTGGCATTAGAAGTAAGATAAATTAAAATTAGTACTGAGTAAATGTACTTCAAGTATATTCATAGTATAATTTTTATAGACCAGTGGGCTTGAGATTTTTAAGGATGAAAATTTAAGGGGGGAAGAAAAAAAAAAACACTATTTGAACAGCTATCCCTAATGACACAAACCAGGTATATTAAGCAGATTTCAATCTCATGCACGGTAGTATTATGAAATTTTCCATACTTCCATTCATAAAATGTTTTCTCAATTAGGCAGCTACTATCAATTTGGAAAACGAATATCACCTTAAAATTTCACTTAATTGTGCTTCCCAAAATTAATCTCTTTTAATTAACAAATGGATCACGAAGTGAGTTGTCTTGGACAAAGCAGCTATGTTTAATCTTCCCTAGCTCTTTAGTGGCAAGCACCTCAACACCCACTATTGCTGTCTTTTAAACCAGTTATCTGTATGTTCTTTAAAGCCTAAGGCAGTTGTGAAAACGGAAAAGTTCTGTTAGAGTATTTTCATAAAGATTTTCAAGGAATGAGAAAAAAAAAAAAAAACACAAAAAGCCAAAACCAATCACTGTGTGAAATGAAGCAGGAGACGTGTGTAACGAGCAGAAGCCGACTAACAAAACTGGAAAATGTGACAGCCACGGAGGTAGTTTGTGTTGGATCACGCTGGTCCACTTCCCTGCAGCGCCTTGTTTACTGAAAGTCACCAGCGGATGTTACCTGTCACCCAGCCAGTGACAGGCGAGCACATGGCGCTCTGCGGGGTCCATTGCAAACAAGGCTGGAGAGGCTCATTTAACTAGCAGACACTTGGCCCTGGTTCTCATTTACACCTCCATGCATGAGCCTGTGATTTACCTGGCGTCATCTTAGAAAATGAAAAGAGGTGAGGAATATTACTTGTTATAGCAGGGGCGCGCACGCACACACTCACACTCAGATACTAAATTCAGACGATGGTGGAATGTATGCATACAGTTTTGGCTAATTGGAGAGACGAACTCCTACGGAAGCCAGACGCTATGCTAACACGGCTGCGCTCCTGAAAGAACCAGGGATAACAGACTTAATCAATTTTGAGTGCTTCACCCTTTGGGCCCAATTAAATTTTAGCGCCAGTTAATTAGCGGTTAAACTTACTTCTGTTCATTCATCTAGGCAAAGTGCATTACGGAAAAGGCGGTGATATTGTAATTACCTTTGTTTAAAGAAAACCAAATAATATTAAAAACCAAAAACATAAATAGGAGATATTCTCTCTCATTAAAGGAACTTTTTAAAAAATATAGTCTTCTAAGAAAGTGAAAATAATTATCCTTTGTCCTCCAACTTCACTGTTCAAATGAAGTGTGTGGGCCCCTGTCGCTACTTAACTGTAAAAGGATTTGGTATTAATCTACTTCATTAAAAATCAATGAGGGGTAAATCAACAGCTATTTAGCATAATAGAAAGTCAGGCTAAATATTGTTGGTAAAAGATATTGTTCTCAGTGTGACTGCTTTGATCCATTACCAAAAATAAACACCATCAAATTGCCAGCTGTTGACAAATGAGGCTGCAGTTCACACAGGAGACTGAAGTGAAAATTCGAAAAGCTAACTTATCCCTCTCCCACGAGGTTTTAGCGGATGTTTTAGGTGCTTGTAAATCTGAAGCCACTAATTATGCTGGCGTTAGAAGCCTTCTAAGAGTTCCACTGAAAGAATGTAGAATTGCATCAAATACCAAACCTTCCCGGGCAACTCATTCATTTACATTTCATACAAAGCTGTTCAATGCAACACTGTCAGAAGGTAGTTACCCGGCCAACGTGATGCCTAGTCGTATTCATCTCCTCTGGTACGAAAAGCTGGTTCCACACCCAGCCACGCCTGGCTCTCAGACGAGATCCCACTGGCTGCTTAACTTCCTGTGGTTTCGAGTTTTCTGTGGCTGTAAGGCAGGGTCTTAGGAGAGGAATTCCGACCACAAAAGGTATCAAAAAGCAACAATTCATTCTGATGTCTCTTCTGATTCCAGCTGGTACTCTTCAGAGGGAAGGGTGGATGGTGAAAACAAAAATGTTGTGTTACCTTACAATCTTTTTTTTTTTTTACTCTTAAGTATATTTCATATCCCTAAAGCATAAGAAACAAAACATTCGACATAATTAAAAATAGAATTTTCTCACATAATTGCTAAAGGCAGGTTACAATTTTTGCCTCCCTAAACTAGTGTGACTAAATGGGACAAAGACATCTATATTTAATTTATCTTCCGATTAAGCTAGTTAATTTTATTTTGCAGTTCAGCTATAATTTGATTGAAATAATTATAAATTTCTGTGCAGGCACAGTTCATTTTGAACTGCAGCCATAAATCTGCCTGAAGTTTGAGAAGCTGCTTTTGCCATCTTCTTGATTGACAACTGACACTGAAATAGGTTTTTTTTGGTTTTGTTTTAGCCTGCTTACTTCTACCTTTCCATCTCAGTAAAATTCAAATTTTCCTGTTAAAACAACAGCTAAGCAGGGGAAAAAGTGTCAGCTTTCTCCTCTTTGTACTCAATAGAAATAAACTTTCTCATCCAGTTTCCTAAATTAAGATATTTTGTGTACTTAAATACAAAAAAGGACAATTCAGTTTAAAAGCCTGGTGGGATTAATAGTAAGTTATAGTGATGCTATAAAACACTCTTAATAGAAAGACTGCAAGATATTTACTTTGCTATATTATGAAAGATATGGGAAATAAGCTTTTTATCTTAAAGCAATAAGCCTATTTACAGAGAATAAATAAAAAAAAGTTATAGTGCCTGAGTAAAAACGGCTTAATGTTTATGAGAGATGGAAATGGAAGGTATCTTCTAACATATTATTAGGCCTCTTTTGCTATATGTAGGTCCCTAGGTAGCACAAACAGTTTGCGCTCTACTGCTAACCTAAAGGCGGGTGTCTTGAACCCACCCAGTGGCACCTCGGAAGAAAGGCCTGATGAGCTGCTTCAGTAAAAATTACAGCCAAGAAACACTATGGAGCAGTTCTACTCTGTAACACGTAAGGTCACCATGAGTCGGAAAACTTTTGAGGTTTTCTCGGTATTATATATGTATAATCCCAACCGACTGAGTTTTATATTTAACACTTTCCATTGACTCAAAGATATCCCTGGGTGGTACAGTTAATGCCCTTGTCTGCTAATCAAAAGGTTGGCCATTCTAGTGCACCCAGAGATGCCTCGGATAAAAGGCCTGGTAATCTCTTTCTGAAAAGTCTGCCATTGAAAACCCTGTGGAGCACAGTTCTACTCTGACACACATAATCTTATCATGAGTTGGAATCCACTGTAAGGTAACTGTTTTTTGTTTTGTTTTTTACCTGAAGCTGATCTAAGCAACAGTCTTGGAATTTATGGGTATTTCTTATTTTATATTTTTTATTTTTATATTTTATCTTATATTTTAATTAAATAGTTTTGCATTGGTCACCTTAACATGGTATCTCAATGATATAACCAAATTTCTCAATGCTACAACCATTATATGTTATTACACTTTATTATATTACTGTATCATAAAGTGTAATACCATATAATCAACAGAAAATCCATAGAGTCCCTTTATCTGTTAGGAGATTTCTGCATGATCCTTTTGCACAAGTTTTAAATCTTCCCCATATATTTTTGAACAGCCCCTAAGAGATTTCTAGGTCTTCACCTCTTGTTAGGGAAAGTTGTTAAAAAATACCTAATTAGGAAGGGACACATCCCCATGCATGGGGATTCTGTGGTCCCTCTCAGTCCCTTAAGCAGAGGCGTTCTTTGTTACAAGTTTAGTTAATGAGGGTCATGGGGAAATTCAGCAGATGTGAAAATCACAGATGAATTACATCCATATGCTGAATATTTGAAATTCAGATAATGTCTGTTGTCTAGAAATTGCTAAAATATATATTGTTGATACCTGGTGAATAATAAAATAATTTGGAACAAGTACACTTTTCTTCAGAATGATGACATTTTGTGTAAATTTGCACACATTTGGAAAACTTTAACACTAACATGAAGTACAGCTCTGATCTTTGGATGAATAACATTCTTTTGCTAGTTTTATATTATGGCATTTTCAAACATTTAAAAATAGAGAAAAAAGTGTAATGAACTCCTGTATACCCATTACCCAGCTTCAATAATTATCAACACATAACCAATTCCACTTCCCCCATTGGATTATGTAAACCAAAGTCTGATGTTACATCATTTTATCCATTAATTATATACACATACACACAACACATTCTCTCTCTCTATATATAAGTGTGTGCGTGTGTGTGTGTATAAAAGACAAATCTAAAAATTAAGAATAAGTCTTTAGTATAATTAAATATCAAAATCAGTGTTCGGATTAAAAGTCTTTAAACATCTTTGAATCAGGATTCAAATACGTCCACAGAATGCAGTTTGTCAATACATCTCTTAAGTCTCTTTTAGTTCATAGGAATTTACACTCTATTTTTAATTTTTCTTTACATTATGTGTTATAAAAGCAAGGTTGTTTGTAGTAGAGATTTGCCTATATTCTAGATTTTGCTAACTGCATCCCCGTAGTGTGATGTAATATATTTCTTCATCGCCTATATTTCCTGAACACTATTAGAGGCTTGATTAAATGTAATTTCAAATAGTTGGCAAGAAAACACATTTCTGATGCTGTGTAATTCCTACTGCATAAAAACTGGATAAGCATAACACCTAGTTGTTTCACATTTTATTTCTAGTGCTATTATTATTTATGATTCTAAGATTCATTGGTGGATTCATGTTTTCTAGGCTGGATGCATTCATTATGACTTTATTAGTCACCTTTACTTTTTAAAGTTTAGAAGTTATTGATCATTATTGCCTAAATCCAATATTTTAATGAGCACATACTGAAACACAACAAGGAAATAGAAATGATCAACCAAAATTTCTAAAACTGAGTAATATAACTGAAATTAAAAAAATCATGGAATGTTATTACGAACAGATCAATATATATATATAAAATATGTTATTATATGTTTATTATTATTTATTTTATTTTTTATTTTCATCAAGTATTCTTGAGAATTTGAAGCAATGGTTTCTCTCAGACACTGATGATGGGAATGTAAAATGGCACAACCAATTTTGAAAAGTTTGGCAGTTTATTAAAAATTTAAACGTATACCAACCATATCATTCAGCCATTCCACTCTTCGATACTTACCTCAGAGAAATAACAGCATGTGTCCATACAAGGACATTTACATGAATGTTGAGAGCAGTTTAATTTGTAATAGCCCCAAACTGGAAACAATCCAAATATATATCAACAGGTTAATGTATTAAAAGTGTAATATGCCCATACCATGGAATATTACTTAATATAGTAAGAAGGAATGAACTACTGATGTACACAACATCTCAAAATAGTTATATTGAGTAAACGAAGCCAGACAAAGAGTTCAAACTGTATGTTTCTAAATATATAAAATGCTTAAAAAAACAAAAACAAACAAACAAAAAAAACCTTGCAGTCACGTGAGTTGCAACTCATAGTGACCCTGTACAATAGAGTAGAACTGCCCATAGGGTTTCCAAGGTTGTAATCTTTACGGAAGCAGACTGCCACATCTTTCTCCCACTGAACATCTGCGGCTGGCGGGTTTGAACCACCAACCTTTCGGTTGGCAGCCTAGTGCTTAACCTCTGTGTCACTAAATCTCCTTAATATAAAATGCTGGGAGATTTATCACAGTGGCTCACTGAAGTTTGAACAACATTGGTCTACCAAAAAACTAATCTAGTCTCACAAACATGTCACTGGTTTGAGGGAAAAAAAGGGGGAGAGGGGAGATGGGGATAGAAAGGGTATTCCAGATTAAAAGAGACTTAAGGAACACAACAACAAGTGTGAAACGAGGACATTGTTTGGATCCTGATTTGCACAAAATTATATTTATATTTACATTTTTATGAATCTGTGAAAACTCAGTACATATCGGTGTTAATTTTGTTAGGTATAGAAGTTTCTTTGTGCTTTTGTAAAACATTCTCATATTTTTTGTCATGCACACTGAAGCATGTCAGTGTTGGGAATAACATGATGTCTGGGACTTCCTTTAAAATATTTCAGAAAACATAGCAGAACAGACAAAAATATTGTGGTAAAAGCTTGATAATTAATATTATGGATTAAATTATGTCTCCCCAAAATGTGTGTCAACTTGGCTAGGCCATCATTCCCAGTATTATATGATTGTCCACCATTTTGCCACTTCATGTGATTTTCCAATGTGTTGTAAATCCTACCTCTATGATGTTAATGAGGTGGGATTAGCAGCAGTTATGTTAATGAGGCAGGACTCAATCTACAAGTTAGATTGTGTCTTAAATCAATCGCTTTTGAAATATAAAAGAGAGAAATGAGAAGAAAGACGTGGGGACTTCATACCACCAAGAAAGCAGCACCGGGAGCAGAGTGTGTCCTTTGGACGCTGGGTCCCTGCGCTGAGAAGCTTCTAGCCCAGGGGAAGATTGATGGCAAAGACTTTCCCCCAGAGTGGACAGAGAAAAAAGCCTTCCGCTGGAGCTGGCACCCTCAATTCAGACTTCTAGCCTCCTAAACTGTGAGAGAATAAACTTCTGTTTGTTAAAGCCATTTACTTGTAGTATTCTTGTAGCAGAACTAGATAACTAAGACAATTAATAATTATTGAAACTGTGTAAGTAATATTTGGATGAAACCAAAAACCAAACCCATTGCTGTAGAGTTGATTCTGACTCCTAGCAATCCTGTAAGACAGGGGCGGCTGAGGGATTTGAACTGCCAACCTTTTGGTTAGCAGATGTAGCTCTTAACCACTGCATCACCAGGGTACCAATATTTGGATAGTTATTATATTATTATTCACTTGTATTTAAAATATTCATTTAAAAGCAACAATAGCTAAATAACAATGTTGCAATTTTAATATCAATGTGGTAGACAAGAAT